TGGGTGGAGTATCTTTACAAAATCGTCTACGGCAATTTCCAAAGCGATCGAGTGTTGAAACACTTGATTGAAGTGTTTGAGACAAGTGATCGGGAATGCCTGAGACACGTGATTGGGAGCGTTTGAGACATGTGATTGAGAGTGTTTGAGGCAAGCTTTTCCGTAACAATAACGACCAATCGTTATTCCGAAAGGATTCCTTTTTTTTACTAAGATCTCTTTCCTACAAATAACGGCTTAGTCATTAAGTGTTGTCTACGTAGAAATGCGTATGTTGCGATGGTAACGTGGAGAAAAAGAAATAGAGGAGTATCTTTGTGGAAAACGTGAGTGACATAAACTCTAAGTTATCCGCAGTGAGCAAATCCGGCGTTTGTACCTGAATATTTCAAGCGATTACAATGCTATGTTAAATTGATAGATAATTAGAATACAATATGACAATTTTTTGTTGCGGTACAACATCAAACATTCTACTCACTGCCCTTAACCACACCGTAGCATCCTAAAGCTTTTATCACAAACGAAGAAGATTTGACCAGGATTACAGAAGGCACTCTGGATTTTGAACTAACTTCCTTAACATCATAACTATCATGTCATCATAAGCCTTTAAATTCCAACATCAGTTGCTGTTTCACAGCAAATTTAATGCCAGTTATAACCGAACTTGTGATCGCGCGAAACCAAAAAACATCAAAAATGGCAAACAGATAAAACAAAAGAATAAACATTGCACTCAACTCTAATCCTACGTGTTACAGCCTAGCCTAGGAAACTGATGAATACCTTAAACCTTCTTTTATAAACTGCACTGTTAAATCCCCTTTGACTGACACCCTGCCCCCTCTGTGGCTTTTGAAATGTAACTGTGGCCCAAGTGTGATATATTCTTCGCCATTTATTTTTGTGTCCTAAACTATACCGATTCGAATGGACGGTTGCATGGTTTCAAAATAGTCTGTGATTTATCTTCGATTCTATTGAATCTGTCAGCCGGTTCAGAAATTATTTGGACAATGCCACAGGTTCTTGCAGCTTGATCTGAAAGAGTACCGTGTTGTTGGAAGAACATTGTCTAAGGATTCTGCGAATTCCAAATAAATCCTGATCTTCTAGCCTCTAACCCTGATGTGATCATATTTGATTTTCCTTCGTGTAGTTCGCTAACGTGAATGACGCGACCATTATCATGAGTCGCTCCGCGTAATAACTGTGCAGGTATCTGATACGACACGAATTTTTTTCTGGTCTTTACATTTAAATGCCTTGAGTACTACAGTTAATTTTTTTCCGTGGTCCTCATTTTTTGCCCATTTTAAAGAGGCCTAAAGTTTGAAGGAGTCTGGGATCGGGTTCAGCATTGTTTCTGTTTGACTGGTTGTTCAATAAACTGGCAGCCTGGGCCGAGTTCTGCTCCTGTGCCTGAGTAGTAGAGTCGTCCCACTCTGGCACGCCATCAGCACGAGTCCCCGAGGACCCAGAAGGAGCGAGCCATTCCGGTAAAGGTCCCTCTTTGTCTTTCTGGTTGCTTGGAGCCTCTTCGGGAGGAGAAGTATCATTGAGATATGAAGTAGCAGACATTCTTCCCTTGTCGAAACTAGTACTGGGGGACCCGTAACCCCGTGGACTATGCAAGTGTCCCTGGCTTTTCAAAATAGTAATTATTGTCGAGATTTGCTCTTCTAATTGAGTCATTTTCATATTCATAACTTCGATTTCTCGTCGCACCTCGCCTTTCATTTCGGACAAACTCGAAAGAACGTCGGTACCCGATTCCGGGATGTCGGGACGCGCTCGGACAATGTTCGACGTCATACTTCTTGTTCGTGTCTTCGGAAGGACCATCATGTCGATCTCTGCTTCACTCGTGTCTCCACCGTCCACCTGATTGTCGTCAAACTCGTAGTTCTGCGCCAATTCTTCGACTAGACTCAGCTTTCGATTCTGCTTCCTGTGTCGAAATGTGACACTCGTTGGTCTGTCCCTTTGTTCCTCGTTTGCTATTTCCAACTTTGGGGTGCGTTTACGAATCTTGAGCTGGAGGTTAAAAAAATTAATAAAGCAATTTTCAATTAATTGTCGAGAGTAATCCGGAATTACTTTGTTTTTGTTTTGCTTCGTTTCGTGGTTTTGTTAAAAAAAACTCGCGTCACCTCCTCAACCAATCAGATGCAAAACTAAAACCAATCACTACTTGGTCGTTCGCTGTTTCCCGCGCTTTAAGTAATTCGGCAGTTTTTACTTTGAGTTGTCATTGGCTCTTAAAGGTATTTTACTTTCTTCTGATCGGCCGTTGTGATTTCTTTGGTTCTGGTCTTACGAAACTTAATCGAAAAACGCTCTAGTTTATATTCCCTCGATGAAGAAATAAGTGGTAATTTAGTATTAACAATCGAGCTGAAAACATAAATTGGCCACCGCTAAGAGTTAAAAGGCAAACTTTTCGAGCATTAGCCCTTCGTCAGAGAGATTGGAGGAATTGTGCGTCGTGTGTGGGTTTGTATGCAGAAAATGGGGCTACGTTATTGGTGGGAGTATGATGATGAGAAAACAAGAATGAATTAGTTGAATGAAAAGCGCTCGTTGATACCGTGGGGATTAGGAGTAACGAGGAAGGTAAATTTTTGTTCTCGTGTTTGCGGCTTTCCGAACTGCTTAGATGTAGGGAAAGTCCGCAAACTGCTATATGTTGTTTAGAATGATTATGGAGAATAAAGTGTCTGGCGACTGGTTTGGATGCGTCCTCGTCATTTCTTTCTACGTCGCGAAGGTGTTCTCGGATAATTACGTGGTTGTGCTCATTGTGTACCATAATTATCAACAAAGATTCTGCTTGCAAATTGTTTAAACTTGTACGTCTACCTTTTACAACTGTGATTTTTAAATAATATCTCATTGATAGCGGATACATTCGGCTAATATGGTTCGAAGCAACCAGTCAATCAATCAGTCAATCAATCAGTCAATCAATCAATCAAGTCAGAAATGCAGTTGGCCAGGCAGGCGGTTAGTTTGTCACCTAGCATGAAGAGTAAGCGCGATTTTAGTGAGCGAGTGCTCAGTATTTTTTTCTGTGACAATCATAGCTGCCGTCTTTGATTTTTACAGCAGCGGAAGGATGGGGAGAGAAAGAAGTACCGAAGGGATGACTAACGGTCGAAAGGAAGGACAAGGGAGGGCTGGGGCAAAAGAAATCCTTCCCAGCCCCTCCCCCCCACCCCCGTCCATTCTAATTTTGAGTTAAGATGGTCGAATAAACAATCGCAAGCTTGTACCGTGAACTCACTCATTAAGAAGCCTACACTGCAGTCTATAACTGAGTTTGTCAAACAATAAATAAATTAATCAATTAATCATTCCCTCATTCACTCAATCAATCATTCATTCATTCGTTAATTCATTCAGTTTGTCAGTCATTCGTCCGTTCGCTCGATCTTCGTTCATTCATAAAGTCATTCAGCAATTAATCAATGGATCAATCCCTCACTCCTTTAATCAATCGATCTATTGAAGAAATGTAGAATGGTTTTATGGCCAATCAGAGCGCACGTACTATTTGAATTATTTTATAATAGCCAATGAATGAATTAGACTACTTCTACGGCTGGTATGCCTCACCTCATCTCTTAAGTTGTACGATAGCACAAGGTTCTTGGTAAATTTGTTGGCAAAATCTGGATAAAACTCCAGCACCTCGATGAGTGCGTCTCTCTGAATCCAGTGAAGGTCACAATAAGTTAACGCAAATACGTCCACTGCTGACTGACCTACTGTTGACTCATGACAAATGTTGTCACCAAACACATCATTCTCACCTTTGAGGGAAAAAATATCAATGTAAAATGGAAGTGACACTCTAAGTCAATACAACAGTTCTCAAGGAAAAATCGTCTGTTCTCGCCCAAATATCATATGATCATATTTAAGTAGCACCCAACCTCTAACAGTAAAGGGATGCTGAAAAGCTCTGGGAACCAAGAGTCTATATCGTGCGATAACCTGACCATCAAGTAACGTTCGAACTTCGATTGCCATGCACCAGACATTTTCCTCTGGACCTTAAACCCTTCTCACGGTCAAGAGAGAAGTGTGAATCTAGCAATACGTCAGAAATATTCCCTCTGGTCATTGCACTTTTGTTAGTTGGTAACTGAAAATACCGGTACCTTTATAAGGAGTTGTTCAATAACAGAAGATAACAAAGTTTTCCCTTTTATTTATTAATTTTTTTTTTCACATTCCTACCTAGTAAACCGACAACAGTTTCTCCCTGTTTGACCTCAAGAGATCCACGCGCGATAAAGTATATGACGTCCAAACTTTCTCCATGATGAATGATTCGATCACCAGGTGCCACGTGCGAGATCCAAAAGTTGCGGGCAATCGCTCGTTTCACTCCCGTGCTGGCGTCTACGAACGCGGGATTGTTCTCCAGGATCATTCGGTTGAGATGAACGCAGATGTCTGCTTGAAGATCTTTTGGACAATACTTTAAGACCTGAGGTTTAACACGAAGAGACACTTTCAGCGTTTGTGCGATTTGCTTATGCTCACTGAGTTTACGCATGCTTTTTTATTATGCTTAAAGTTTGCGTATGAGTCACGTGACCTGCATCTCCAGTACTTATCCCAGCCTCGGTGGCAAAGTGATAAGGGGTGTTGCTACTCTCCCTCACCCCCTGGATAGGACGCCATTTATTGACTAACCCCACCCAGGGTGCCAGGGTACCTTGACCCATCTGCTATGGAATGGAACGTAGTCATTTCGAGATTTCCAAGATAGCTGATGTAAATTTTATTTATGGCAAATATTTATCAGAAAAGATTATTAAGAAATCCTAGTAGTCGTGTTTGAATTACTTGAAAATGTTTCCATTTATCTCGTTTGGAGACAGAAAATGTAGTAATTTCAATGTTTAAGTTTTTTTCCTTTCCCTATTCCCTCCCCCATGTTTGTACCACGTTTAGCGGGGCGAAGATTAAATGTCCACGAGTTATCTAATGACGTTCTTAACCTTTTGAGATTAAAACGAACCATTCTAGGTTAAATCCGTAAGAGGACTACGGTAAAGGTTTCAAAAAACAATGTGTACCTCGTCTGTGTCGATTCCCTTGTTCATTGCCCACGTGGACATGAAGAAGTCAATCGTTCTGGTGGCAAGGTTTGCTGGCAGCTTATACAGTTTACTAAACTGCTTCATGTTGTCGATTATCGAGTGGTATTTTGCTGTGTTTTTCTGCGCTTGTTGAAGTATAGCAGAGACTTGGCCGAAAATTAGGGAGAACAAGATTGCTAAAACGAATCAAGTCAAAACATTCCTGTTAGATGTGATCCTGAAACTGTACCTCCTTTCGTTTCATTTTGTTACAAAGTACAGAGCCAATCAGATTAAAGAAGAAAGATGAGTCATAATACGCGACAGGAAAGCGCGGGAAACATTTTCCCACAAAGACGCGAGTAACATATGGCCAGGGTCTAAGTGTTGCAGGTCTATAGAGAGCGCGGTAAAGGTTTGAAATCACGAAGGAGGAAAGATGGAGTCAGGACTGTATATCTATCCAGTTTTCAAAATGGCTCTAAAAACTGGTTTCACTCCCACGTAAATAAGATTTATTCTCCTTCTTAACTATAGAAATAGATGATGGTGATTGTTATGCCTCCATCACCGCTCTGTCTGTTTGTATTGATGGAGTAAATCTTTCAGGTGTTGCATAAGGGGCATTTCGATAATAGGTCGCGAAACCAAAAGAAAACTAATCTTCCAGAGGCCAAAACAAAGAAAAATATCGCGCGGAAATTTCAGTAAACTTCTCGAAGCGCAGGGAAACGCCAGTACCCAAGTCACATATGGTTTAAGTCAGTATCTGATTGGTTGACCGTGTGGAGTGTGTTTTCTAGAAAAACCACAAAGCGAAGTAAAGCAAAGCCAATTAATCTCGACACTCAATTCAAAATTATTCGACAATTGAGCACACTCACCTCCCAGCAACATTGTGATGGATGCAAACAGCTTTTCAGCAGTTGTATTTGGCGAGATATTTCCAAACCCAATCGTTGTCAAACTAGTCAGTGTATAATACAGGGCAGAGACGTATTTTGAGGCAATGGTGGGGCCCGTCGTCAGATCTAATTCATTCGTCCCATTCTTCAATTTGTAAGGAGTCCCTACCTGGTTCCCTAAGATTTGCAGCCAACCGTGCGGGTCATACTTATCGTAGTGAGTGGCGATTAAGTAGAAAAGACAGGCAAACCAATGTGCCACGAGGCAGAAGGACAGCATGAGGAGAAAGAACGTAGACGCGCCATACTCCAAGTATTTGTCGATTTTTCTTGCTACTCGCCCCAGTCTTAACAAGCGAAACACTTTCAGGAATCCAAGTAATGTCGTCATGCTCTACAAAGGAGGAAAAATTGTTGGTTATGAAATGATCTAAAAGTTTAATTCCAGCCTGAAAGCGTCGAACTAAAAGTGCAATTTGATAACGTATGTCGTGGTTTTGACAGTAAACTCATATCGTAAGGAAAAACTCGATACTAGTCATTCGAAGTGAAAACTTACAGCGCTGCTATTCGTTACGTAAGTGAGAATCCCGTATGGCAGGGATGAGACCAAATCCAGAAAGAACCAACTGCGAATGTAATTCCAACGAATCATCTTGAGATCGTCAATAACCTCGCCATCCTTCCCAACATAAGTCGTGTGAAAATTCAGGGCAATGTCAGCTAAAAACATCCAATCAACGAGCAGATCCAAGACAGAGACTGCGTCATGCTCGAATGCGAAGCAAACAAGAAATGGCACGGAAATCGTGGTGTAAAGCGTCAGGAAGAGAATCACCCAGTCCCAGGTTGTTTTGAACGTGGTGTAATGGAGGATCACCCGCGGTGGCGTGTGGGGTACGTCAAGTTTGTAATCTGGCAACACATCGTCATTCAGAGACATGAGCTGAAATTCACAACACGTGTAAGTTAAAAAATTTGAACGAGTTTTATATCGTTCAATGATGATGTTTGTATTATGTTGGAAAAAATTTTGTAATCCGAGGCGAAAGTAACTTCCGCTGGAAAAATTCCCTTTTGCTTTTGCGGCGGAACATCAGCCAGAAAAGAAAACTGAAGATTCTCCAATCTTCCAAAGGTTGAGGTTTTGAAAGATGGGTAGCACAGAATATGATTTTCATAAGAATTTTTATAGGGAGGGAGTCGGAATACAAAGAACACCGATAAACATGGGCGACCATAAAACTTGACATGATTCAGAATGAAAGCGTAAACTTGATTCTAGTTTCGAAGTGTCCACTGAACGCTTCCATACGTTTAAAAAAAATCGCTACCGAAAAGCGTTAAATGGAATCGCCATTAAAAATGGGGAAAAATTCCAATTACAGTTGCGATTTTTTCTTTTGCGCAATATTAAACAGAGCTCAAAGAGTGTCACTAATAAAGTTTTGGAACATCTGCTTTTTGATGCGACACCTAGTCAAAATGCAAACGTTTTCAACACATATATTTAATTTGCATGACTTCTAGAGCTGAATATTTGTTTGCAGTTTAAGTTTGTACGACTTCCATATTTGACTTCTGTCTGTTTACGACGACAGAAGGACACTCTGAACCCAACCCATCCCTCGATCACAAAGAAATTTTGTTTTTGGCTTTTATGCATCAGAGCTGTAAATTTTATTTTAGCCAAATACGCTAAAAGAGTTGCCTTAAAGTCTCTTAAAATAAATACCCATCACGATATATTCAGTGTGAAGAAGAACACATTAAATCTTCATAAAGTTGGAATTCTTATACCCAGGCGAACATTTTACTGATGAATTGAAAAGCGCGCAAATCAACGGAGCGGTGAAAATAGCAGATTGGAAATGTTTTGTTTCGCGGGCAAAGATCAAAGTGGTTTTGTATCTAAACCGGCGCGAAGAATCTGTTATTCTAACTCACCGTCGACTCCTTTCGCCGTCGAAAAATTGTTGCTATTTCTTTAGGTTTCACCGACATATTGATGAATTGTTTATAAACCGTTGACATTAACTGGTAATGTGGAATCAAAGCAACACGGTGTTTATGTTGCTCGATCTTGAAAGGTAGAAAAAGAAATTCTCAGGCTTTGCCTTCAGCAGCAATTAGGAACTCGCATTTCATCCAAATGATTGGGTGATACTGTATTCCTTTTCAGTTAACAAAAGGAGATCAACTATTTTGAAATTCAAAATTTTTTTTTGCCTTACACCAACGTTTAATTACGAAAAATCATTTATGTAAACACACACGCCCCTAGAGTTGAATGCATCCGTAAACATTTGCTACATAAATAAAAAACTTTTTTGATCGGCGAGCGGGCTGTTCACGATTTGAGTTAAAAAAGAATCAGGGTTTAAAAAAAAAAAACTTAATTGAAAGAGGGCAAGAGTATCAAAACTTAGCCCTTCAGTAGGGTTACAGTTCAATTTTTAACCGAGAGAAAAATAATCATTTTTTTTTTTACCATTGAATTACTCTTTATTAATAATTCAGAGTATTCAAGTTGGATGGCAGCTGCATTTGTTAGCGAGAGAATGTTTCATTATGTTCGCTGCTTTACCCTTAGGGCTGCGAAAACAATAGAACTACAGTAATGACTACAATAATCATTATAATAATATTCATTTTAGTAATAATAATGATAATACTGATAAAAATAATAATAATAATAATAATGATAAAAATAATAAGCCATTTTGTGTGATTTTTCGAAGGTTTTTTTGTCGTGGAAGCTCCCTCTCTTAAACGTTATAATTTTGTTCACGCGTTCTGCTTCTAGTCTTCGATAGGGAAACTTACTATGAAGGAGCATTCTTGCCTTCCCGTTGTTCCGGCGCGATTTATACCAAATAAAATGAAACCACAAACGATTTTACTCACGCTGCTGATTTGCTGGGCGTTCCGTTGAGTTGTGGTTTTCTGTTTGAACGCGACAAGAACTGATTTGTGCCTCGTGAGAGTTTTGTTAAGTCGCGCCCATCCCTTGGGGCCTCCGTTGTCTATAGAAAAGCATATGAAGGTAAAAACATTAGGCCTGTACGCGTCTCTTTGAACAGCTTGTAAATCTTTTGTTTGCCTCTAGTTATTAAAATAAAGTCAATCAGTCAATAACTTATCCAAAAAAGGGATACTCATCTTTGAATCTCTCTACTAAAACAAATATGACCCTCTAAAAGATAAAGATTCTGTTCAATTAGGATAAACCATTTTCAGGTTGTTTGGATTGGTTGGTATTTCCATATCCTATTGGGAAAAACCTGGTTTAAGTTAAAAGGCCTGATCAACTTTTACAAATGGCTGAAAACCAAAAAGGGATGGGTAAAGACTCATGTCATTTATGCGAGCTTATTGAAGTCAAGCGCGACCTTCAGAGACTGGCCGCTAAGTTCACTGTAAACAAAAACAATATGGCAGGTTACTGGTGTTTATTTCTTTCGATACGTTGGAAATGGAAGACGAGGATGAATTCAAAGGGGTGTAAGTCGGAATCGAGTCACAGGCCAGTAATTGCATTTTCTGTTGCCCTCCCTCGGCCTGTAAACGCAGATAAGCCTGGTGCTGAATATTCATGCTTAATACTTCGGATGAAACGAGTTTGAGTACTCGTAACACCTCGAATAGACGTAAAATTTCAGTTCAACAAAAGAATCCTGGGAGCGACGTTGACATGATTGACAGTGTACGATTATATTAGCCAATCAAATGAGCGTGCTGCCAAGGGGTTTATGTCACTGTACGTGGTCTCTTCCGCTGTTTTGCAAATGGGTACTTTTGTAATATAAAGCGATAATAAAAACTCACAGTCCTTTTCTAAAGTCGAAATACATGTTTCCAGAAGTTTCCAAGTTTGTTCTAAAGATATCGCATGGAAGATGTGGTAAGAATTGAAATTCAAAAGCAACCCAACAAAAATATATCAAACCTTAATATCCAAATTTCTTCAACTTTTTTCATCTCCGAGTCTTGAAATATGAATGATTTTGGACAAATTCTGTCCAAACAGTGTAAACAGAAATGTGACCATTCTAAAACGATCAAAGTACATTTTTTCTGCCTATAGAGATTCAGCAAGAAGATTTGCTCCACCACATAAGTTTTACCCAAAACAAACAGAGCTATGATGATCCTATCAAGTTGATGACGTCAAACATACCCTGACATGCATTGGGTAGCGAAATTAGATTTTGCGATTCGCGGTTTACTCAACAGGAATATGATACTTTGCGAGGGAAATAGCTGTTCTAAAGATAAATGTACTCAAGAAAGGGTTGACTTAAGGAATCAGCTGAGATAGAGACTTCCGCTGATGGGTTACTGTTCCTGTTCCTGTTTATTTCACAGGGAGAGGGGAAGGTTTTGTTTTTACCTGCACCGACAATGGGATCTTTGAACTCCGTGATGTCTTTCAGTGTAACAAGGAACAACATCACTTCGCCTTTCTCGTTTTTGATCGGTCCAAGATGGAACAGAACCCACATAGGTGTACCTGAAAGAAGAAATAGAAGGTATAAAATTTTTTAAATATGCAATAGTCGTTTATTTTCTGGTGGCTCTAATACATATTTAAAAAAATTTGGTATTTTCAATTCGAGATTGGTCTGCTTTCATAACGTATCATCTTACCGTCTTTTTGATATGCAATAAACTCTTTTTGAATGGCTGTCTTCGCCTGCAAAGCATTATGAAGCTCTCTTATTGTCTCCGGGTCTGTCTGTTGACCAAACAGGAAATTGCAGTCGCAATTTTTCTTCATCACTTCCGCTCGCGTGTATCCTGTGAACTTGCAAAACCCGTCACTCGAGTATACAATGGGATTTTCCATAATCTGAGCGTTCCCAAGTACGAATAACGAGTCTGCAGTCAAAATGAAAACAGAAAAAATGTCGCATTTACCCATTACTTCATAAATGAATGAATTAGAAAAACTGCCCTATTTTGTTTCTGGAATAAGCTGAGTTTTACAAACGTTTTGATTGGTTCTTACATAGGATCAATTGTAGGACAGACGCTTAGATGACGTCACCATTAATTTTTTTCCCTTCTTCATTACATAAAACAAATCAATTCCACGTTGCCGTGGGTCTCCTCAGTAATAGAACACAGAAGACGTCAAAATATGATAAGAACATCCGGGACACTCTCAGTTGCGTCTCGTGGGCCACTCTCCGCCGTTCTTACTATATTTTGGCAACTTCTGTGCTCTATTACGGAACAGACGCACGGCGGCATGGAATCTTAAAAATTTAGCAGGTTTGCTCTTGAAAAATTATTCCCTGCTTGGAATAATAGATAATGTATTTGGTTTCCATCATGACAACAAGAAAACTGTAGTTCTTTGGTTTAAGTTCTTTTTTCTTTTAAGTCCTTCGATTTCTGTCTTCTGACAGAACTGAGCACAATTTTGAAATTTACATCCTGATAACAGCACGTAAAATATGAAAAAGCTCCAGCTATCAACTAATGGAAATATGAAGAAGCTTTTTATAATTTTCACTAAAGAAAACAAAACAAGCTGGTAATTATGACAAGGTGGTTAAAACTTCCTGTGCAGCAATTTCCAAGCAAGCGTCAAACGTATGACGAGCACAAGTTTTGAGTTCCTACTACTCTTTAAAACTTCCTGTTTTTACAGACTGCGACAAACGAGGAGGAACCAAAGAAAATTCATATAAGATAAAAAAATTCATTAAACTAGTTCTGACCGAAACTGATCTTTGTGCGAGAAAAAGGTAGTATGTTCCTTCGTCCAAATTAATCTTGTCATTTTAAAACCTTTGTTTGGTTAGGATAAACTCTGAACTACAGTAGGATCAATTATGAAGGTTTTTTTCCATATGAAAGTGTTTGCTATTTTGATGTTCAAAGTCTCCGCACAAGACAAAGACTTCCCGTCAATTGATAGTGTTTCGCAGACTTACTTTTCAGTCGGAACACGATAAGACGTCTTGTATAATCTCAAGTTTTATCTTTTTTGAAAAACTGCAGATACTGTTTTCGAAAGAGTGGGAACCTTCAACATTTGTCTGGAACTTTCTGAAAATGACTTGCAAAATACCCCATGGAGTGCCTTGCGAAATACCCGAATTACTGAACTTTCAAAATAATTAATGAAGTCGGATTAACTACTAGTACATACGAACAAAAATTCACTACAATCTGAAATTGCACAGACTGATAAGAAAGAAATTTCTAATTACAAAAGCTTCCATTCAAAGGATGCAACGAGTAACCTGTTTTCCAGAGGCGCTGGAACCTTAGACATTTGTCAGGAACTTTTTAAAACTGGCTTGCAAAATACCGCATGGAGTGCCTTGCGAAATACCCGAATTACTGAACTTTCAAAATAATTCATGTAGTCGGACTAACCACTGGTACATACGAACAAAAATTCAGTGCAATCTGAAGTTGCATAGACTGATGAGAGAGAAATTTCTAATTACAAAAGCTTCCATTCAAAAAGATGCAACGAGTAACCTGTTATTTACCTTCAATATTTCCATGACTGGCTAATTACACCAACTTCAAATCAAAACGATCTCAAAATGTAAATATCCAATTCGGTTACATCAAAACGCCTTACTAACCGATACCTCAATTTGAATCACTTCATAAACTACGAATTAGAGTGTATAGAACGACTAGGTTTCAGCGAAATCAAAGGAGTTTATGAATGCCAACGTAATCAGGACTTTAATCACTACACAACAGAAAGCAAGATCCAGTTTACATGTTCAACAAATTATTCATATACATATAGACAATTTCAAAGGTGTTTAAACGAGAAAAATACCAGATATATTAAGAAAGAAATCTAAAAATGTGTATCGCAGTTATTAAATTTAAAGATTACAGTCTTGTAGAATAATACAGTAAACACTGACATGGAAAAAGCAATCATATTCACACATAATTTAAAGAAGGAAATTTATATCACAGTTGAATATCTTCGTATTATTCTCTACGGAATTATCCGTCCGTTTACATTAAGCGAATTTTATAACTGCCGCCAGTGTGTCGAAACAAATTACTTTGTCAAAGTCAGGATTCCTAGCTTAAGGGGCCCTTCTGGTAGTGTGTGAAGCTTTGTTTAGGCTAGTCTATTATATTTTCTGATAGCATATCACCGCAAAACAATCAGAGAGTCAAACAAACTCAAACTGGATATCTCATCATATCAACAGGATTTTCAAGCTTTGAAAAATGACAACAAAGGTCATTATATGTTAAAACAAAAATCATCCTCAAAGACTCAATGTGCTAGAGACTGCAACTTTAGATTCGGAGATGAAATTCAACGCACGATTCTTGTAGTTTTTGTTCTAATATTTATGGTAATAATGTTTCCTTATTTTACAGACCTGTTTAGCATATTTACAATAAAGCAATACTTACGTAGTCCATTTGAACGGCGTACAACATTTTCCAGAAAAGTATTTTGAGGCACAACAAGTCCTCTTCGTCCAACTGGCATCTCGTCCCTGAAAACACATTCATTCAGCGATCGTAAACCATTGATTCGGTTATCCTAAATTGAAGTTATCATTACTGTAAATTGCGAAAAATCAACATGAATATTCAAGTACAAATATTGCCTATCTAGAGTACAGATTTGAAACTCCTGTTGTTTGAATGTCGCCGTGTTGACACGTGATCAGTTGGAGGCCCTCTACACCTGTTTTCCAAAACAATACGTACGAACATGGCAAGTTGATATTAAGACTTCAAACCCAGTGAAAACGGTAGAAAATACATCGTACAACCTTAAATAAATTGGATTAAAAACAGTGAGGTTTTTTATGGCTGGCTTTAAAGACTTATCAGTGAAATTTGTTGAGCACCCGTATGGTGTGTGTTGATCTATATCAGACGAAGAACGTTCTGGTTAGGGAATTTCTCAGATCATAATCTTGACTAAAGTTCGATTTTTTTTTTCGGAAGTAAGGGCAGTGTTTGTCCATTGTTCCCAAAAGCAATTTCAGTTGTAAGCTTGATATAAAACTGAAGCAAACCAACCAAGACATTAATGCTTACATGTTTAAGCTGCTTGATTAGAAGTCTTGAAGAACGGTGCCTTTAACACGCGTTTCTTATCGTGTTAGAATAGACGGCTTTTCCAACCCTTAATTTTTGACTATTTGCTTTTATTATCCACACCGGGAGAAATTACCATAACAACAATACTTCCACCACTCAGAACTGAGCGTTTGACGAAAATGACATTTGGTTAGCGGTAGCACCGCCCGAGAGACATACGTCAATTTTTTCTTGACAAAGACTTTATCGTAAACACATGAAATATTTAACAGTATATTTCGATATGAAAGGCACGATATATTCGTTAGTTGAAACCAAGTTTTACAAATTGCGGAGAAAAGAACACAAACGAAATGAGGAAAGTTACATCTTTAAGGAATCCCTTTGATTTTTGATTTCGTGCAGACACCTGTCACTCAGCTCACTTGATTGACAATCGTCAAAAGTCATCGGCAAACACAACCGACCAAAAGTGTCTAAAATGAATACTAAAAAAATTGTATAAATAATTGGCTAAAGTGGACAACTGCAAAATGCCTTCTTTCGAGGCATAAGTAAAACATCGGTTATTTGTTTCTATTTGGCTACAGAATGGAATATTGATAAAAAAAGTTTAGAAAATAATGCTCTCCGGGTGTTCTAATAAACTGCACCAAAAAAGATAATTTTTCACACTTTGCTGTATAGTGTTACTGCCGTGATGAAAAGTAATCATAGGTCGTTACAATTAAAAGGTTTTAGATCGAATTAATTTATGAGGAGAAAAATATTTTAAAAAACCCAGCGAAAATTAAATAACTGACCACAACTCTCTCAGATTTGCTTTCCGCATGTTTTTTTTCTCTAAAATATTCGCCACATTTTTATTTATTATGATTTCGAAATATGGAAATAGTCCCTTCGTTCATTTAACTACGCTACAGGGAACAAATACTTAGTGAATGGCGCCATGGAATTAAAAATTAAGCAACTGTGTTTTGGCGTTTTTTTAGTTAGGCAGCCTTAAAGACTTCATGCATTTTGAGTAATTCTAGCGTTGTTTTTATCGCATTTGATGTTCAGACAATTTAATTTCCTTCAATAAAATCTTACATTAAGCAAAAAGAAAATATTTGAATAACAGAACGGATTGGTCACGTAATTGAGGCCACCTTTAAGGATAGTTAACGATTCTTTTCTTCAGGTAATTTCGCACAGTAAGACCCTGAGGCTCCTAGCTTATTTATTTCAATTCTCCTCAATTTAGGCGGTCGTCTAAATTTCTATTCATTTGGACTTTTGAGGAAGGATTCTCTCAGCTTGACACGCCCTTTGTCGAAGGAAATTAGCCTACAACATTTTAACTGTCCATGAAAAAACCAACTTTACTGTTTCTCGCATATATACGCATTGCGGACCACGCAGCTGAAACTTTACTCTAAGAAAGAGCTCTGTTGGACAAAAGTTGCCCCCACGAAAAAAAAACAAAACAAAAAAGATATTTTCTTTTCTCTACATAACCCGCACAGGATAAAGCTGATTCAAGTTACAAGGTTGAAATCGAAAGATAAAATTGCTAAGATTTGAATTTACATTTTATTTGCCGTTGTCCCAATATATCTTTGGACTTGGATCTTATAACAAAGCTCATATCTCGAATTGTTGACTTTCGAACGTTCTAAAACATTCGTTTAAACACTCTAAAAATGCCCCTGTCTCGTGCACATGTAGCCAGCCACTGGTATCTTTCAATCGTAACTGCATTTCTAAGCGCGATGTGACTCAAGGTCAAGTGGAAAACCATTCAAAAATGCATGATTAACGGAATCCTGACTTAACTATCAAGGTTACGTGGGAATGTAAGTGATGGTAACCACAAATAAGAGAGATTTTTTCAACGTGTGGTAACATTTTGCAAAAGGTTTAAAGCATTTTGTATTAATATATCTATTATTTATAACCATAACTTCTAGGATTCCTACTCATTGTAGTTATAAATTGATGTTTTTTGGGAAAATATTTCCATAAAATGACTGGCGAGGCTATCTAACAGTGTATTTCCACAACTATTTTTTTTATGACGTGATGATATTTCAAGATTTTTCCAATTAACGTTAACAAAGCTGAATATTGAAAATTATTTTTATCTACGCAGATGAACTTATCGCACTGTTTGAGATGTGAGCAGCAATATGATGGGCAATGTATTATTCAAATAAGAATGGGGCTTTCGTAAAGTGAAAGAATCCCTAAGGGAAGGAAAGGGAGGGACCCTTTATCTGGTCAAATAGGTCACATGCTACCCCACAGGGTATAGTTCTCTTCAAGGTGGTCTTAAAGTTGTTTGGAAACGCGTTTAACTCTACGTCGAGAGGTATGGGTTCGAGATCTACCTGGGTAGTACTCTTGGGCAAGACACTTCAATCTCACATTGCGTATCTCCACCTTGAAGTAAATATGGGTACCAGTGAAATGTCAGGGAGGCCGAAAGAAAAGTTGAAATAGGTATGTCTGTTTTCCTGAAATCTATTCTGTGCTTTTTGGATCTTACTTTGTTTTACACCCTCAAAACTAAAAAATTATCGAGGCTGAATATATTTTTAGGTTAAGTTGTCATGAATGTTTATAAAAACTGTAGTTGGTCGCAATGACATTATAATTTTTGTAAGAAGCTGCCTAGTGGAAATTTCAGCTTATCACCGCAAGCGCACCTTTGGCGTCCAAGCGCTCACTATTACTTCGTGCGATGTTTGGCCGCCATTTTGGATTTTTGATGCCGAGGGAGGCGGGGGAGAGAAGGAAGTATATACCAATCTATTGGATGATTGGTGGAAGGAGGGGGGGGGGGGGGGGAAGGGAACATATTTTACTATCCCTCCCTTCTCAGTGGAATCTAATCGTGAATAAAACATGGCGGCTTTCGAGCCTATAATGAGAATTAGCACTCCTTAATAAGATGCTACCTCACATGTCGATTTCATCTTAAGCAGTTTTGAGGTAAGTTAATATGGGAAATCTTTTCCGTGTAATCAAGATATTTCCATCCGTTTAGATATTTAAAGATGCCGAAATCTGTTCCAAAAATTTCCAAGTTATCTATAAAAAAACACTGCTTTTACTGGCCAATAAACGTAGCAAATTCTTGCTTCACTCCCACTTTTGAGCAAACAAAGAATTAGTTATTGAAAGCTGACTGTGAGTACAAGAAAGAAAGAAAGAAAGAAAGAAAGAAAGAAAGAAAGAAAGAAAGACGCAGGAGAGAGGGAGGTGCTTTGAGTTACCAAGAAAGCAATCAAATTTTTGCAGAACATCACTTAATACTGTGCATGGCTGAATCCTCGAGTGGGCGAGGTGAAGCGAGTTCTGGGCAGTGTTTGCCGAGAGCGCACATTCACTTATATTAACATCATGCTTGTTATTTCACGCTTATAAATTGTTAAATAAATGTGTTCACTTTTTCTCCTACACCTTTTATCATGATACTTCTTGCCAAAAATAACTTAATGACGAATGAAAACGAGGTTTCATTTTACAAAAGTATAACTCATCAAACCTTATCTAATCTTACCTTATCTCCCAGTAGAGGATTTCCAATTTCACAGCTACTTCAAAGAAACGCCCACTCTTGAATGAACTGCTACCGGCCGCTGTGATATATTCGATTCAGAAACAGGTGACAAGATCTTGTGAATACCTCTCCATCTGAAATTAATAAGTAATGTTTAAGCCAATTTATCGTAGGAGACACAATAATTATGGAAAGTAAGCATTTATTACCCGAAGGATACCCAATGTTTTGGCGACAAGGCTGACTTACTGTCTGCTTCATGCATAGCGGTTTTCACCATTGTTCGACAGAAGGACTTTGTGCGTATACCCTGACAAATTCTCTTTTTTCAACTGTGGAATTCCGGATTCCGGGAATACGAGTACCGATAAAAGCATTTCTTCACCTAATTAAGGCAACTCTGAAAAAATTCCACCTCACAAATATTGAGCAAAAATTTTCATCAAAATTTGTTTATAATTATAACATGTCAACAAAAGTATAGAGCTTACTAAGAAAATCGAAAGTTGTTCCCGCTTTGGTTTGATGTCGCAAACCAGAGTCATTTGAGCTCTTTTAAAAAAACACACGGCACCATTTAATGCTAAAATGCTGACAAGGTTTTTTTTATGGAAAGTTTTAAAAAGGAATAGACGAATTATGCATTTTAATAATCTATTTTCTTGACACATGCGCCGCCATTCCTGACATGTAACACTTACTTTTAATTCGGCCATTTGCAGCGAACAATAAAAACACAATGCAGATGATTTATTTTCTTTGTGCTTTGCAAAATGTTAGAGAATATACTTTTTTTCCTAATACGAACCAAACGTCTTTTTGATGCTTTCCGTTCCGTTTATCTGGGGTTTGACCGCCGATCAAAATTGAAAATATATTTAACACAGATCTCTAAGATTCAGCGCTGCATATGCACTACCGCTGTTTGAGCTCTAGTGCTAAAAGACTAATCTTTTTTTCAGTGCTAATATCTTTACCGGCATCAGTGCAAGTAGAAAGCACAGAAAGCAGGACGCGGAGATAACAAAGTATTTGTAATCATGCACCGTTAAACGTCGCTTAGCAAGTACCTATGTTGTCATTTCACCGCTATATTTTGGTTATACACTTCAAACTCACCTCAAATTCAGTTGAATAGGACTCGATTAGCACACTCGCCTTTTCTTTGTGAACGTTTTGCTGAGTATTGAATGAAACGTAGAATGATATTGAAATAGGCTGAATTTACACTCATTTTTATTCAACGCTACGTCACGAACAATTTAAAACCAGGTGTTCCAACGAATTACCTTTCCAAATCATTCTCAAAAATGAGTTATTATACATCTTGGAGTTTGACACTAATGAAATGCAAGCGAAGCTTTAAAGCATTTTAATATAGTTAAAAACCGTTTTCTGTTTTACCCGCTCAAGGCCGTATATTAATAAAGTTAAGCTTTCTCTTTCAAAACAATGCTCGTTCGTTCGATTCCAATAGCATGAATCTTATCTTGCAGAATTAAAATCCCTACTAAAAGATAAAGGTTTTGCAATGACTATACGCAAATAACGCGGTCTAACTGTCACGAAGCATTTATATTAACACTTCATGTTACGATAGCAGGTGTATTTAAATGTGTCCTCAGTCAGTCAAGAGATTCTCCAATGTTTAAGAAAAAAACCATGACTCTTACAAAAAGTACATAATTCTGTAAAATACTTTTTTTTTCTTTCGGTTTTCAATGGAGATCTTGTCTTATGTAAGCTCGGTTGAAAATCCACTGACCGTATTGCACACCAAATAAGCGATAAACGTGCCAATCTCCAGGACATCTGACACAGAGACATTATTAACAAAAGCAATTTGAAAATCTCCGATTAAAACGCCCACTAGAATACGTCAGAACGTGTCTCCTTAACCAATCATTTTATTTAAAAAAGTTGTAAGTTTTGAAATATTTGCCCGGCAATCCCAATTTGCATTTATTACAACCTTAGCTACTGATAACCTTGGCATCAGTTCGCATTCAATTAAATTTTGACACGCCAAAGCGATTAAGCGCATTTAAGCGATTTCCGATGCCGACTAACTGAGCAATTTAATCTTCAAAATATTTTTTAAAGGGAGGGGGAGCAAGAGTAAGGGGAATTTTTTTTGCCAAAATGCCCTACTTATAGTTTCTTATAGTCTTTACAAAAGTCCACTTTATGCGAATTGCCACGCAATTTCTCGTTAATATCAAGTAGGGATTATTATTTGAAGTAACATCAAGAGAATTGTATAGCAGACTGTAAGGAGAATCTGTATTGAGATCTTGAGAGTCAAAGGGCTCAACTAAATGTGGCTTGGTTCAATCACTAAAATCGTAGATTCTTTCATGAATCTAAGATTTTACCGTTAAAAAGTTAATTACAAAATTTCGACATCCTTCTTACCATGGAGGTGTAACTCACTGGTAGCAGTAGAATAGAGCGCTCGCTTTACATGCGAGAAGTTATGCATTTTAAATCGTGGCTGGAGACCAACTCAATCCTTCATTTTAAGATTTTCTGAAACTATTAAGTGTCAGCATTTCCAGAGTCAGCATCGTATGATTGCCACTTTCCCTACAGGTGGCTTCGTAGCTCAGATACTATTAATACTATCTAGGGGCAAGGGTTCGAATCCCGTCGAAGCCTGTATTTTTTGGGCTTCTTTTCCGAAATTTTGGTAATTGCAGCTCTCTCGTTTAAAAACTACAGCTCATTATATAATTTATTTCATTAAATGAGCGATGTGATTCAATATCTTCCTCATATATCGGCATAAAATAGTTTGCTATCAACGTTGGTGATGCTGGAACCAAGAACATGGCCTGACTAATTCTATTCACTCGAGCGATACTTTTGAAATTTCTTATACATGCAGTACACTGGACGCATGTTACATATGAACCTAGTTTCTGGCCAAGCTTAGTAACCCCTTTCCCAGAACGTTTATTGAAGCTGAGTTGGTCAGGTACGTGAAACATTTGTGACATGTGCTTTCGCTAAGAAAAAATATTACGCAACATTATGCATTAGCAGAGAAAACATGGACGGTCACTGACAAGCCTGAGTTTTCTTAAGCAAAGAAAACTTTCTGACGATACTCGCCAAAGCAAACTTGCTGTAGGATAATAACTTTTCCTCTTTAAGTCCTTAAGCTTGTTCGTTTCCTTGGAAGTATTTCAGACAATTTCAAAAACTTGTACGTCAATTTTCAGACAAGAGGACTTGCCAGATAAAAACTTGCCAAATTTTTACATCGACACTGTTACAAAGAGACTTTCGAGGGGGAAATTGTCGAAGAAACTAATCCACGACAAAATAAGTTGACACATAACGCTCGCGTAGCAACTTTCGGGAACAATAAGATAACGAAATTTAAAATATGAATTGCAGTTGCTTCAAAAGCCACTTCCCCAATTCAATGTTGTAAATTCACAAAAAGCAAGTACAATGTTCAGCAAGGGTACAGATAGTAAAATTAAGGGTATTTCCGATAAAAAGTGATATTATATTGTGATCTTAATGGCAATGTGACAACAAGTTTGTCACGTAGACTTTTTAACTTGTGTAAATAGCGAAGAATATATATTCGATTTTCTGCACTGCTTGGGTTTTCCCTTTGTTCTATATTCTTGAGGGATGAATTTGATATTTGTGTAAATAACCTAACTGTGGGTGATAGCACAACATAGAAAACAATAATTTTAAGAACTGCCGACCAGTAAACCCTGCATGTTTAGTGTTAAATAATTGCGCGCATCTCATTGAGCTGGCAAATGCTTAAGATTTTCATTTTTTACCCAGCCCACTCTTCACTTAGTAAAAGTTTCGGTGATGGTCGAGGCAATTAAGACCCACAGAACCTCAAAGAAAGTTGTTGTGTTTAAAAACAATATAAGATAATGCGGTCAAATTAGCCCAGCGGAAAACAATGAAGCATTTTCACAACAGCGTAAGTACAAAGGTTCAATCTCTTTGAGATCTTCCCCTCTTCGACACCAAGCTTTATTTGGCAGCGTGAAGCTCTAGTCTTCACGAAAGAAATTATTATTTCAAAGGAGTACTGTTGTTTACAATACCAAACTATAAACAAAGCAGAAATTACCTGCTGACAAGATACCTTGCTGGATTTTCAGAAAAGTTTTAAGATCATACTTAGCTAATAGAATTGTTTTTCAGCATGCGAGTCTATGAAAGACCACATCTCAGATAAAAAAAAAAACTCATGTGAAAAATTTAATTTCAGAAGTGAGACTAACCATCGTGTTCATGTGTTAAAATCGTAGCAAATTTCACACAAAGTTTTTAAGATAAGAATGAAATAAAAGCGGAATTGAAACTCAACACCATGTAGTCAAATTTGTGGTTTTGATAAATTTACAGACCGCGGACTCAATTTCAGGCACTCAATAAATTAACTTCAGAAATAAGCCCGCTGTGGATATATCTAAAAAAAATAGCAAGTTATTATTATAATTATTCCTGAAAAGCCAAACTATGAAGTTGTGTAAGATAAACGAATATCAAAGGAACCTTACTGATAAACCACTTCGAAACCATTGTTGTCTAAAAAACTAAAATAGGCCCGTTATGAAATAGCCTATTTCACTGAAACAGCTAATATTTCGCTTCCACGTTCAAACTTGAAACGGGAAATTTTCAAGACTTCCGATATGATTTATTAGGGCACATTTGTTTTAAAATGGGAACACATGGCAGTAAAAAACGAGAAAAGCTGCCGCCTCTTAAATTCTACTGCGTATTTCTTCCACTTCGTATTAAAAAATATGATAAAAACTGCCCTTCTCATATTGCAGCTTTCTGAGGGTCATCTCTTTTGGGAGTCTCTATCAATAATTTTATCGCAATTTCGGAACTTGACGAATGCGCGTCTTGGCAATGCATTTCATTGTTTTTAAGCTGCAAAGTTCAATTATTCAACTTACCTAATCCGTTGGAAAATCTTTTAAGCTAACCACCAAATAATATTAATGGCCAATAGTAATTTTTGCGTCGTTTCACCTGTGTATCTAGAATACCTCATTCACTAGATTACCTTAAGGGACAAACTTGCCATGAATAGTTTTGTAATTCTGAAACTGACTTGGCGTTCGACTCATACTCT